TTCAAAAGGAAAGACACACCAGCCGGAGAGAAGCAGCAACAAGCCTGGAGTGTGTGTCCCCTACCAAGTGTAGCACCATCTTGGCTGCCACCCGACATCAGTCCACGCACTAAGGAAGCCCCACACTGAAGCACCCAATAGGGTTATCTCCCTTCACCAACCAGAGAGTAAAGAGTCAAAAGTGGGCCAAGGGTGGGAGGAGGGAGAGTGGGCCAGGTCTCCTGCCCACTGACCCCTCTTACCTCTCTGGCCTCTGAAAGAAAGAACTTCCCAAAAGGCAGAATCCCAACTTGAGCAGCTAACCATGCCCCACACTGCTGTCCAGTGGAATGTCCTCACCCTGGGCAGGCTCGATCCACACTGGGGAGAGTGGGAGGAAGTAGCCATGGGAGGAGGAAAGAGCCTCAGGCTCTCTGGAGGCCCTCACACTGAAGCAGCCAGAGAACAGATGCGTTCGAGTCCCCACTATGAGACTAGGCTCTGGAATCCAGACAACTCAAAATGGCCCAGGATGTCTACCCATAAAAACCTGGATTCCACTTCATGAAAGAGTGTGACACAATGAAGCTGCTAAATGGACTGCAAACATGTGCCAAGGAAACGTGGGAGAAATAGATGCTTGTCTGACTCTACTTTGAGAGCAAAATGTAGCTTATCTTTGAGGAATCATATTAAGAGAGTTTCTGGGTGTAATGGGAATGCTGTGGAAAAGGTTAAGACCATTAGAAAGGAAAACAGTGTCATCTTGCTGATGAGATGAAAGGAATATGTTGTCATATACATATTTTTAAAGATCATTTTCTGTGCATTTGGTTTCCTAACTAGAGTATAAGATACTATATATCGGGGCCATAACTTTTTCTTTCAGTTTCCCCAAACAGACCCTAATACACTGCATTGCATGCAGTAGTGCTCGATAAAAGCATTTCAGGATTTGCTAATCTCACGAGGACTTAAACAGATTTGACAGCAATGATTTATAGAATATGAAGAAAGTGTATGGCACCTAAAGGACTAGAATCTGCCACAATCCTTGCCTTTCTGTGTTAACCAGGTTATGTAACAGGAAGGCAGCAGACAAGAATTGTTAGGAAAAAAAATGTAAACAGATAGGATTGAACTCTAATTTGCTTTGTGATTCCTGCTCTTAAGTTATTTAACATTTATTAGGGTTTTAATTTCATTTAATCTGATATGAAGGTAGAAGACAGTAGTTATCAAAGCAAATAAAAATTATGGGGAATGGGCATCAAAGAGACAACGGGACAGATATGCATTTCCGTTGAATTTCCTCGTGGACAGATCCTGGTCTCCTATGGGCAGTGTCACAGGCTTCCCGGGTTGTCCCACAAAAGGAATTTATCTTTAATTACCTACTTCATTTTCTTCATTTGAAAATGAAAAAATGAAGGTGGTCAATAAGGCTTGACTGAATATTTGCAAAAGATTCTAAATCCATCAAGGTTCACTGACGAATCACCCTCCATTACATAACTCCTAACCAGCATTTAAATATAGATGGAATTACACAGAACTTCAGGAGTGGGGGAGATTGTGAGGAGCAAATCCTGGCTTTAGGGTATGAAGGGATTGGGAGTGCGGGTGAGATGTGGGGTCAGCTGGTGCAGCTATCCATCTGTGTATGACATCCAAGCAGCAAAGATCCTTCTCTGCCAGGTGAGGAAATGGATAGGTAGTGGGGAAAAGAAGGGAATAAGAACTGCCCTGATTCACTACACCCTAGAGAGACTCAGACAAAGTCGCCATATGTCTTAGTCCTTTCAGGCTGCTACAACAGAATACCATAGCATGGGCCAATTACAAACAACAGAAATTTATTTCTCACAGCTCTGGAGGTTGGGAAGTCCAACATCAAGGTGGTAGCACATTCAATGCCTGATGAGAGCCCACTGCCTGGTTCACAGATGGCAGTCTTCTTGCTGTGTCTTCACATGGACAAAGGGGCAAGAGAGCTCTCTGGAGTCTCTTTTATAAGGTTCCGTGATGATGTAGTCATGACAGTTCCACCCTCATGACCTAATCACACCTTCCAAAGGCCCCACCTCTAAAGACTGAGAATTAGGTTTCAACATATGGATTTGGGTGGACGCAAACATTCAGTCTATTGCATCATACTTGAAAGAGTAAAAGATGTTCATTTCCTTCCAAGACTCCTCATTACTAAACCAAAAGAACAAAAAGTAAATACAGGTCAAGAACAAAAAGTAAATACAGGACTTGTTGTTTTATGACTACATTGTGGCTTAATGTTGGTTTAAAGAGAATGAGGCAGGCTGGTGTTTCCACGTCAGAATGGTAGCTGGAAAACCTGGTGCCAAATGTGAAAGCTTATTATATCCGAAGTGGGTTAGAAAGCAAAGAATTAACAGGAACATATGTAACACATATGCCCCCAAGTCTTCGGTTATCTCATGATGAATATATTAGCTGAAAGCACTGGTTTGGGTGGGCTACCCCATATTTTGGGGCTATGTTAAGTAACAGAGTGAAGAGCAAGAGAAAGGAAATAGAATCTTAACAAAAAGAAAATGAGCCAAGCAAAAAGAAAGGAATCTCTAGAATACCTCTGAAGCAAATCTATTTAGAAACCTGAAAGCCCCTTAACCCTTTGGGGAGAACAGTTGTGTAGGCCCCACTTGGTTTCCCATTTTCATGCCTGAACCTTGGCAAGTGCAAGTGCAAGTGCAAGTTCATAACTTCAGGATTGTATTTTATGCTTTCATAGTATTATTGAAACATCGACTTATTGAAAAACAAATTACAATGGAACAAGATAAAGATTATGTAAAAATCAAATACAACATTTAGAAATAGGTGAATTTCTAATGCAAATGTTGCCAGCCCCAAATGGAGATTATTTACCTGCCCCAGGAATGTTAGTCAGATAATGGAAGTTGAGCCCAAAGATATAACTCACTTTTTTGGTGGAGGTTCTTGAAGTGGGTTGTGGAAATAAAAATCAAACACATTTTCCACCTATAGCAAGGGTAATTTACATATATTGGATTCTGTTTACCAGGCAATTGTTACTGTCCTAATTTAAGGCTTGATTCTGAACTCTTCATTTCAAAAACAACAGCAGCTTCTCTAACAAAATTCTGTTCACCCTTTCATGCTATAATTGTAGAAATTTCTTCACTTTTGAATTCCATTAATTTCCATGAATTATCATTAAATTAGTAGATTAAACTTTGTTGGGACCTTCTTTATTAAAATGTTTGTTCGTCTCATTCTGCCACTCTTGTTACAGGGTTATTAACCCAAAAATATTTGTTCTTTTGTGTTTGTATTTCTGTTCAGCCTTTTTCTCTCTAAAGTTAATCCCTGGGGACTTTGCTTTTCCAACTTAAAAACTGAGTACCAGTATCAAATAACCCTAATATTAAGAAAACATTTCAGCACATATAATGAAAGTGACCTATTTGTAAAAAAGAGTCAACAAGCTGATTTAAAAGAGGGCTTTTTTGGTTTGTTTTTACATATAAGCTATAAAATAATAAGTAAAATACAGTCATATTTCCTCACTGAAGATCAATTCTTTTGGAGTCTTACTATTATTGAAATGAAATCAAAGCATTTACTTTTTAGTGATGCCAAATTCTCTAATAAACAAGCTTCTGTTGACTTTTACATTTTCAAACTAAGAATAGTGTTTCAGATTTCTTATATATCCATTCAAATCTGTCATGTGATACTGGAAACCGTATTATTACATTACCTTATAATGAATCATTGCCACCAGGCCAACAGGAAGTAACAAAAAGCCAAGAAACAATGTGATTTTTTTTAGAGTTAACTGAATGCTAAATATTTTTAAATACAGCATTTTCTTTCTATAGAATAGACAAGAATTCCAATATATATAGGTGTGTGTATATTATATATGCATAATATGTAGCATGTATTATAAACAGGCATTTATATGTAAATGTACATATATGAATATACACATAATACTTAAATTCCATTGTAAATACAGTGCTCTTGTTTCTGTTACAATAAAAAAATCTGTATCTTAAAATTTTGAATTTTAAAAATAAAAATAATCTTTATACATTATATCTAATCTGTATCTAGTATGGAGTTCTCCACATTTTAGTATGATTTTTTTATTAAAGTTAAATTTTCTTTCAATTTTAACACATCACAGAGGTGATAGCATACACTTCTTGTGTAAACCTTTGAAAGCTTTTCAGAACAAAAGACAAACCAAGAAACAAAGAACAAGAGAGAAAATGAGAAAACTGGTGTAAAAATCTACAACTAGCCTGGCCGGGCGTGGCTCAGCGGTTGAGCGTCAACCTAGGATCCAGACTATGGGGTTCGATTCCCGGTCAGGGCACATGCCGAGATTGCGGGCTCAATCTCCAGGCAGGGGTGTGCAGGAGGCAGCCGATCAATGACTCTCTCATCATTGATGTTTCTCTCTCCCTCTCTCTTCCTCTCTCCGAAATCAATAAAGATATATTAAAAAAAAAAAAATCTACAACCCTTAAAATGAGCTCTTAAAAACAATATACTCTTTTTAATCTTAGTAAATTACTATGTTGTGACTGATGCTTTCACATTATGTTTATTAATGTTGAAATGTGTGACGGTTTAATTATTTCCAGTCCTGTGAGTTATTTGCAATAAAATTAAAAACTCATTTCTGGTTTGCTTTTTTTTTTTCCAAATTAAGAAAATTTCATTATCTTTTATCTCTCTGTCCTCTGATTCTGGTAGCATCTATAGACTCCTAACACTGGGCGTATGCTCCCTCAGGCAAACACATCCCATATAAAATTCATATAAAGGAAGGGACCTCCTGGCCCTCTCTTCCTGTCTTACATTATTTTAAAAATATGACTCAGGGCTCAGCAGTTGGCATTTATTATGACCACTAGCATTTTTTTTTCAAAGAGATCATCAAACATTCAAGTTGTTTATACTTAAATTACAGTGTCATGAAATCTTAGGCAACAGCCCCCTCATTTTACCTCCAAGGTTAAGCAACTTGCTGAACATCACACAGCTCAGGAAACAGAAGGCTTACACCAGAACACGGGTCCCATTCCCAGGAGAGTAATCCCGAATGTGTGTACTCTAAAATAAATACAAATGATGGTATCATGATCTTTATTAGAGACAATGAGAATCACACTCTAAAATGCCATTCAGCTCCATAGGGTTCCAGGCTATTCTAGTCCTGCTCTAAATGGGTAGGAATTTGTAGATTTACAAACAAAGCCAAATTTTCAAGTAAGGCAATAAGACATGCAGCAGCATGGAAGATCTGTGTGCTAAAAAAAGAATGTGCCCCTTATCATCTCAGAAATACTACTTATACATTTTCTTGAGAAGTCAGGCTAAATTTAATTAAGCACATTTCTACATATCACATGAGCCTCTCCCACTAGTATGAAAGAGAGTGGAAATCGAAAGAAATGTCACATATTTCATGGTGCGATTCAGTTTTTCTCCAAATCACACTTCCTTTGAAAAGGCATAAATTTGGAATATGCCTTTTGGAAAATGCTTCCTTTCAGTTTTCAAATATAATCGTGATGTAATTAATCTAATCTGCATTTCAAAGCTTCTGGAGCTGAGCTTACCACCAAAATTAAGCACGAGATCCCCTTTTATGGACCAAAATAAAGAGCAGTGTATTGAATTATTAGATAAGCTTTTGTTCTTTTCTTCAAATATTTGCATGAATTATTCAGGCTTTGTACGGATGGAGCTTTGAAATATTCAAATTCCTTGAACTGTTTCATTATTTAAGGTTTTTATTTATTAAATCCTGTAGGATTCAGTTCAATTATTCTTTCTGCAGTAGGGAGTGTATACAGAGCAGAGTGTCAGGTAATGTTGGAGATACAAAGATAAGCGAGACGATCTTCAGAGATATTATACGTCGGGGGAAGGAATACGAGGCTGTAAAATACTTGTAAACCACAAGTTACAGAGTTTCTAAAGAAAAAGAGACACCTTCCGGGGGGGAGGGGGGCTGAAGGAAACACTTGAGAGAGAAGCTGGCATTTCAGAGGATCCCTGAAGGACCCACGTGAATTTCACAAGTAAGAGAGCAGTGAAACGAGGGGGCTGAGGTCTCAGCGTGACTCACGTTCTCATTTTCATCTACGAAACCACTTTTAGGTGTGATAACCCATGCAGTCATCTTCCCAGCTGCGACGCTAGTTCCTCTGGTCTAAACCTTGAGCCGGCCCCACCCAAGCCACCTGGCAAACACATTCCGACTATCTCAGGAGCCTGTTTTCTGAGGGCTGCCCCCGTACTCCTTCCCTAGAGGCTCCCTGTTCAGCAATCTGGGTGTCGCAAGCAGTCCTAAGGAAGCAGCCCAGAGAAGCAATCACAACCTCATTAGAACCCCAACCCATAGCCATTCCTCACTCCCCTGAGTCCTGCTTGCTGAAAGATGCCGGCCCAAGCTGAAAATCGGACCACAGATGCAGTCAGGTGACTCCACCCCTACTTCCAATGCTCCTGTGACATCCCAAATGGTAGTCCTTAACTTGGTTACAAGGCTTTTCTGTCCAGCCTCTTATTTCCCCTCTCCCTGGCTCGCAGCAACTTTGACTTTTCACAGACCACACACATCCCCCCATGGGAGGCAGAAGACTCACCTGAAATCATGGGCTGGGCTAGGGCCCCCTTGAAAAGAGCTGCCCAGGGCCACAGGCTTGTACAAATCTGCATGACTAGGGAGAGTGGAAGAGTCAGTCTCACAGCCAGAACGTAACCCTGGAGAAGGAATTGGACCTACAATACTATAGCATAAGACCAAGGTCCGGCCTGGGAGTCCCGGAAACAAGATGGAGATAACCCCAAAACTACAAGATAAGGCAGGCCGAGCCTGGAGGGGCACAGGAAGGAAGGGAGAGAAGCAGGGGGGGAGGGGGAAACTGATGCTAAGATAGAGACCTCGAAACAAAAGCCACCATATAGAGAACGACTCACAGAAACTGGAGAGGAAAGTTATAAGATCAAAGAAAATAAATCAGGGGCTTGAATACTGGAAATATTGAAAGAGGTTTGACTACGGTGCGGTGAACAGCTCTTGAAGAAACATGGCTGTTGCTATGCGCAGATCATGTGATCAGCTCCCTAGAAAATCCAAGAAAATCAGCTGAAAAACTGTTAGAACCAATGATGCAAGTTCAACATGCAAAAAAAAAAAAAAAAAAAAAAAAAA